TATGGACTGAAACCTCCACAAACTGTAAGCTAAATAAACCTTTCCTTCCTTCATTTTGGGCATTGGATATTTTGTCTCAGCAACGAGAGAAAAGTAACCAAGACACCCATGTAAAAGAAAAAAAGAAAGAAAACAAACAAATAAACCAAGTTCTATGCTCTGACAGTAATTCCTTCTGCAGCTCAGTACGTGAAGCTTCCATCAATTTATCCAGGAGAGTAAATGCCTGTAAATTTTCCTAGCCTGACTTAGCTCACCATTTTAGGAACATTAAAATTTGCACACATAACTATATATGTGTTAAAAACATGGCTCCTTCAAATACTATTTACCATGTCTCTTTTTGTGAAAAAAGCAAAACTCACCAGAGTTTTTTGCTATGTCAAAATTCATTGTCATCTGCTCAAATAAATACCGTAACTCACAAGTAGGGGGCGATACTTCATTTGTTGTTGCACATAAACAAATGCCCTCCCCTAACTTTGTCTCAACTTTGTCACAACTAAGAATCTAGAAAATCAAATACATTGTTTCATGCTCTTCTTTAATTACTTATTACCATTAAGTTGTGTAGTTATATTTTCACTTTAGGGATCCATATTGACATATGGTATAGGTCTGTTACATAGTATAGCTCCATAGTAGCTTACACTAACACGATTTTTAAACTTCATTCAATTGAGATCTCCCAACAATATGTTGTTCCACATGAACAGCTTTGTATTCTTTTTTCTCTCAGATCATTTCAGTGGTTCCATGAGCAAGGGTTACACAATACAAAATCCTGTACTGTCCGTAAGGGTGGGTGTTCAGACTGTGACAATTCAGATACCTCTCATAGCAATCTTAATCCTGGAGAGTGTGGAAGAAAACCAGCTCTTAATATAACGCTATCAAAATTAAGGTCCTTTTTAGATATTTGTACATTTCTATTTTGAATTCTCTGCTTTAGACTGAGTTTAATGGAAGGTAAAAGGGTGAGGAAAGAGAAATTAGAATGAACACGTTCTTTCTTTCTTTCTTTTTTTTTCAGTTTTGGTTTTTTTCCAGTACCAGGAATCAAACTCACAACCTTGCCCTTGCCAGGCAGGCACTGTGCCGCTGAGCTAAATCCCCAGCCCCTGAACACATTTTTGTTAGCAGTGCTCCTCAGGCTCCTCAAAACTTCAAAGCAAAGTGGAAAAGGAAACTCACATCTTCACCGGGCTTCCCAGGAGGGCCCTCTGGTCCACGTGCACCAATTGGACCCTAATAATAAAACAGACAGAAAGAAAAATTAATATTTACCTCCCACTGCCAATAATACAGTCCAGACTACTATTGAAACAATAAAAAAACCAATGACAACAGTTTTATTAATGATTTGAATTTTATGTTGTACCTCTGAAGTCGTGCACTCAATAGGAAAAAGTTCACGTACACAAATGCACAGACTTCTGTTCTCTCTGCCTAGATTCAAAGCCCTTGATTCAATTCTCCCACGTAAAGAACACAGAGTCTGAGCAAAGCCCGCAGGACAGGGCTACCAAACTGCATTGCTACTTCTTGTTATGTTACAGAGGACCTGGGGATATCATTGCCAGGGAGACCTGAGCGCAACTGGATCTACGTGCTTACTTGACATTTACCATTGGTCCGGGATCACCGGGTTCACCGGGAGGTCCTGCTGGTCCTATACCACCCTACAATTGAAATAAAAATGATATAAACACAACAAAGGAAAACAGAATATCGAATCCCATGCTATCTGCAAGACCGTATGGTTGTCCAGACTCCTGGCTCTGCCATTATCCAGCTGGATGACTTTGGGAAAATTGCTTAATCTGTCTAGAACTCAGTTTGCTAATCTGAAAAGTGGGTGCTTAGTCAAAGGTAATCATCATCATCATGATCACTGTGAACTTTATCACCATCATAAACAGCTACTTTTCTATTTATCACTCATGGTTGTATCAGTATAGTAAACTTGATTGACCTGAAGATTCTTTTCATCCTTGAAAAATTACTTCTTTATGCCTGTTAAATCACTCCCCCTGATCAATAAAATAGCTCTCCATCGCAATGAGGCATAGAAAGCACATACTACTATGTTCTTGTTAAAGGTCTCACAGTGGAGTCACATTCATAATACCATATGGTAGTCTACTTTTCTGATCTGATGTCATAGCCTCATACTCAGTTGTGAAAATTTTCATCACAACATGAGCTAACAATCTGTTATTTCAGAGGCAGAGGCACATAAGTGCTAGTATTAGACATCTATCACATAGAGAAATCAGATGATAATAATGTAATACCATGAAAAATCTTTGAAAATATACTGCACATATTTCTAGGTGAGTGACAACTATTTCACACTGACTCAAAATGGGCATTATAATTATGTAATTTAAAATCCAGCTCAAAGCAACCATTTCCCCTAGCCCTTTGTGTACACTATGTTTGTTACAGTGTGTAATTCAATTATAAACAGACTTACTTGCTGCCCTTGTAAACCTTGAGGTCCCCTTGGGCCAACAGGACCCTTAAAACAAAGAAGAAGAAAAGTTGCATAGTGTTCATGACAATTAATACTTTTAAAATGTCGAATCAGCTTTGGAATCTGAAAACGTGAAGCACTGGCAGAGGGAAAGGATGACGTGCTGCATCTGTGCTGGTCTAGAAGGCAGCTAAAGTCGGGGAGATTAAAGCTTGGACCCCTCTGGGGAGATGTTACCCAGCCCTCGGTGTCACAAAGGAAAATAAACAGTACACAGGAACAAACCCAAGGTCTTCAGGACTGGAGCACTTGCCTGTTAAAGGGTGGTTCTGTTAAATCAAAACATTTGAAGAAACTAAAATCTTGGCAGGCACAAAGTAGTTATCAAATTGTCGGTTTCATTCTTCAGCTTTGCAGCAGATAGCTTTCAAAACTTAAATGAACATGTTGAAGTAAAGGCTTGTGAGACCAACAGGAATGGCTAGATTATTTTCAGTGTTGGTTTAAAATGGTCTAAAGCACTGAATTTTCCAGGTTCTCTCTTTCTTCCACAACATATACAGGAAGTACCAATACAGGGTTCTCTTATTCCACATGAAATGATTACCGTGAGGCATAACAAAGGTAGGCAAAGGAAAGTGCAGTGTGAGGAAATTTAGTATTGTATGTGACTGCACAATTTTATAGTGTCAAACTTGAGAAAGTACCACTGATTCAACCAAAATCAGGTTTATGCTTCTGACATAAAGAATCTGACTAAAGAATCTTAAAGCTTTGAATTAATCAGCTATTTTATCTAGTAAGAAAGTACAAGTTCCCTTAAAAATAAACACATATCTAATTTAAACCTCATATGAATACAAATAAATATATCTCAGAAAAATATCCCAAAATAATCCCTGAATGATGTACATTGCATTAATTTACTATATACATATATGTATACATAATGTATTCATAATTATGGCCTGAAGGATGGGTAGAGAGATGATCATTAACGAGGTCTGACTTTATACTTACTGCCTGAAATTCTATTAATGTGGAATGATTCTGAATTATGTTACAATGAAAGAAAGCACAAAAGAGTTACTTGAAAAGTGTTAATTCATTTGATGAGATTACATTGCTCTAAATACCCAGCATAAACTAATTGCCCAATGTAAAATAGGAATCTTTCTGGCAGTTAACAAAATTCAAAAGAAGATAAAGATTGTGAGAAAGCCCTGCCCAGAAGCCTTGGAATTATTGGAATAAGGTAGCCAGTGCATATTAAGTAGAAAGCAATAAAATGAAAGTAGCAAATAGCTCTTATTTCAAACTTTTGTAAAATCAGTATTTCTAACAGTTGCTTAGAACATAGTTTTAATTAAAACGAGCAGTTTTATGGTGCTGGTAGTTATTATCTTAAAATGCATTATTTTCTTCCTTTATTCCTGCCCACAAAGACTTTGTGTGGCTGCAAATGCAAATCCTCTCAGCTGTTCAATCATACATAGTAGGGTTTTATAAATAAAATGGGTGGATGGGTGGATGGCTGGATGGCTGGATAGATGGATGGATGGACAGATGGATGGATGGGTGTGTTTAAGAAGATACATGCTATTTCTTGACCAGCTAATGCAAGCCTCTCTTTTTATAATTAGCTTTCTACAAATACTTTGGTTATCAGTCAGACTGATACTCACCACAGAGCCAGGCATGAATCCTACTTGACTTCCAAGTCCAGATTTCTCATCCAACCCGGCCATCTGAGCCGAAAATGGCTGTAAAAGCAATGTGTGGACACGATTTCCAGGTTAAACATGTGCCACTACATACTTTTAAGATTGAGAAATGTGCATTTTCTATAGTTCTCACACATTGACTCTTTTAAGTATCATTTTAAATTCTTTGACTTTAAGCCAGAAAAAAAATTCGGGTTGATGCTTATTATATGTGTTTTTAATTGCTCGTTCTCCCCCAGAGTTTTACAACGGTACGAATGTCTGAGAACTGACAAAGCATGAATCACTCTGATAAGTACTCAGTCTAATCAATTTGTGGTTTCAATCTCTTTATCTGACTTCCAACCAAGATTAGAGCATGCCAACCATCCAAACAAAACTTAAAAGATACCCTTAAAACATGCGCTAAAGACATTGCCTTCCATTTCACACTATTTTAGGTAAATGATAACCTCCTTTCTTTGATCATGGCACTTAAACTGTAAATTGATAAAATGTTATAAACTTTTCAATAAATCCCTGCATGTTCCAAGGATAAGGAGCAGTTTTATCTGTTCTCTTGCACATTGAAAAAAACTCTGATAATCGAATGACCAAAACTGTTCATCTCCATGCCAGTAATTATATTAATTTCTAGAACTTAGTGAGAAAAAAGTGATACACATAGTGTTTAAGAAATTAAGTTGGCAATACATGTAAGAACTGCTGTAAAACAAAAATGGTTTTCAGAGTTGCATGCTCCTTTATGCTATGCAGACCTCTTCTCTCCAGCTCTCTAAGAATTTGCAGAAGCAGACCAACATTTTATTTTTCTTCACACTAAAATTTAGGAAATAATTAAGCAGCATTTTTAGTGACTTTCTCCTATACATCAACACAGATAAAAAGTCTCAATTATGCAAAAATAACCTGGTTTGCTTATTTTTTTCTCATCTTCTGATTCACATCTCTTTTTTTATTTATCAGTAGATGTTTGCAATGGATAGTGATTACATTCCATAGTCTCCAAACTTTGTGGTCCAGGGACTATTTTCCCGGAAGACGATGTTTCCGTGGGCCAGGCTGGGGTGGGGGCGGGGCTCGGGGTGATGTGAAGGAGTCCGCAGCCTAGAATCCTGGCGTGTGCAGCTCCCAGAAGGGTCTCTGCTCCGGTGAGAGTCGGACGCCCATGTTCGTCCGTGATCAGACAGGAGGCAGAGCTCCAGAGTTAACGCTGGTAACAGGAGCGGCTATGAAGCCAGAGGAAGCTTCCCTGGCCTGTCTTCCATGCACCCGTGCTCCGGCTTTGTGGCCAGGTTCCTAAAAGGCCAGGGACTGGGACTGGCCCATGGCCCAGGGTTTGGAGACCCCAGATGACATTCATCTTGGGAACTGGTACATAAACATACGGCATCTTAATCGATTTTACCTCCCTTTTGCCTCCCACGCCTCCCCCTCCTGTAGCGCTCTCCTGATGGAAGGATACAGTGTTGATTTTACCAGCACTCTGAGCCCCCACATCAGCAGGAGAGAGAGAAATCTCTCTGACTCACAGGGCGCAGTGCTAGTGCTCCTTAAGGGTCAGCAGAAAGAAGAAAGTTCATGGAGTCCAGAACCGACACTGATAAAGACAGATGATTTAAAGTGGCACTTTAAAGGATGCTGCTTTGAATTTTCCTAGAATCCACTGTGGATGTGTTGGTTCTGTTTGTGTGCATTCCTGTAACAGCTCTTATGTCCAATACCACTACCTGAATTAACAGTCTAAACTCGTAACAGTAGAGCAATAATAATTTAGCATATTATCAAGTGTGATACTGAACAGCACACCACTCACCCTGCTCATGCCATCGGGTCCTGGGTGAGACGGATGTCCAGGAGGCCCTGGAGAACCAGGTTGGCCAGGAATACCTGGTTCTCCATCAATTCCCTGAGGACCACGAGGACCCTGGTTAAAAAAAAAAAAAAAAAGTGTAAATTAGAATCCACAACCAGAAATGTACTTAGCGGAAAGCTAGAAGCACAGATTTCTTGATGGCAACCGTGTTGATTATTTTAAACACGAATGGCGATCTTAGCCACTTCATCAGCTATGTCTACACTGTCGAGTTCAACACTAATCAGAGCTTCTCCCATTGAGATATAGCATAAGAAAGACTTTTATTGACATGTCAAACCCACACAGTCTTCTTGGAATAATTATAAACCATTTTCAGCTCAACAGCATTCTAGAATGAGCTTCCTTATTTGGTTGAGTTTTGTTGCTCAAGGGTATTCAATCAACAATTTTTATATTCACTCATCTGTATTAGATTATAGTTAACTATGAATGTGCCTGCTTAACTTCTCCCTCCAAACCCCAAAAATGTGAGGGCCCCTTGGTTGGAGTCTGTGGGTTTTTCATCTTTGTAATTGTTTAATGCTTTGCATAGTTTCTGGTCCGTAGTAGACACCCAGTGCATATGTATTACATTTTCACATTTCAGTCCTCTGTAGTTTTTCAAGTCTGGCATATTTTATTGCCCTTTCCAACCCAAGAGGTAGAAAAGACCAGTGAGAAGTGAGAGGCGCAGGCACTGGGATCTGGCCACGTCTGGCCCTCCAAGAAATGAGTAACAATCCCAGCTGCCAAACTCCACCCTGCTCCTAACCTACATTCCCAAGGCAGCTTGGGAAACAGCCACGTCCTCAGTGCTGGAAAAGCTCCATCCCCTAACCTCATCATTCCCACCACTTTGGGGAAGGATTTTCTGCCTTCTTAATCTTAAAAAAGTCTTAACACGCTTTAAAAGGGAAGCAAACAGCACACAAGTCAGAAGATAATATACTTTCTGTCATTAAAAGCAGTGATACAGAAAAAACAGTACATGATGTTAGAGCCTCGTAGTAAAAGAAAGCTTCTCACACTTAACCAAAACAGGAGTGACTGCCTAGGAAGCAATTAAAAAATAAGCCAGTAATGCAAGGGAGTAAGTGTAGGATAAGCCACAGGGGTGGGGACGGCAGTGTGCACATCAGGGTTGGGGAAGAGTGGTATAACAGCAATTGAAAAACTGGATTAATATGTTTGAAAATACTTTATATATTTAATGATATTTAATATTAATTTTAAATATATTTCTCCAGACAAAACATATATATTTTATATGTGCTCATACTCTATGAAACAGGCATGTCCTATAGACACAGGTAGGCATGTTTATTTCTTGGGGTAGAAGGATAAATAAGCAAGTTGATTCAAATAGATGTAAATAAATAAGCCTAAAAACTCAGATTTCTTAGAAAATTAGTCTCTGATTTTAACCATCAAGTCCCCTCTGATCTTAAACCACTGAAAACTCACTTTACTCTTTTCGTTACGCAGAGCAGAAGCTAAGTGTAAGCGCTGTATAGAATTCCAAATTGCGTGAACATGGACGTGCTTGGAAATGTGGATTATCGGAGACCGTGTAGGCAAAGCAATGGTCTCACTTAGTTATATAGCCTTGTGTGAAAAACTTTTAATGGGTTTTTGCAATACTTGATGGCTAAATGATAATCATTTTTTGTTATTTTATACAAAAAGTGAGTTAAAACATAACGCCTGTTCTCAGACAAAACATTCAATTATATTTCCAAAGACAAAACATTCAATTATATTTACTGTCCATGTGAACAGAGGGAAGTCTGGGTAATATTCGTTTTTCAAGTAGCTTGTGTATTTCTCTAATCACCTGTGCTTACTGCTGACTAGATTTCAAATTTCCATCTGAAGAAAACCCTCGCTATCACTGACTTCTGACTCCCTCTGACTCTTCCTGGAATTCACTTTAAGTAACCTTCATGTGTTACACTTATGTTACTTTAGGTTAAAATTCACTTAAAAATAAAAATTATCCCAGATTAAGTGTAGACAAACTAAACAGCAAGGGCAAATGAGAAAAATATAATACAGAACGCTTTACAGATAAACATTAAAAATAAATTACAATTGAGGAATTTTAAAACATTAAAAACACGTTTTTATATCTCCAAGTGAAATGAGTCACACAGTTTTTATATTAAGGTAAGTTTCCTGCTTGTTATCATCCCCTCCCTTGCCCAGAGTACTACAGCACAGTACCTCTGGCATCAATCCACAAAAATAGTACAGTACTGAGACCAACAAAAAGTACTTGCAGATCGCCACTAGGTGGCGCCCTTAAAGCGTTCACAAGTAAAAAAGAAATAGTGAACTTTATTTGAATCTTGTCTATTGCTGATTAACAGTTAACACTGTCACACACAAACGCGTGCACGCGCGTGTGCGCACTCACACACATACGTTGTAGAATGTGAGAGCTGCAGGAGCTATTACATTTTTCCTGTTAGAGACGAGAAGCTGATACTCTTAGAGGTAAAATGTCATGTGCTGTCACAAGCCAGCACGCTACTGGTGACCCATCTACTGATAGGCCGCTACTCTGTCATTCTGAACGGACCAGGACAGCACTCTGAAAACTCGGGACTTGTAACAGGAGAAGTCGCGAAGATCACCGGCTAGGACCGGAGGCTTCCAGAGAGCATCTCCGTCAGTAGCTCTCAGAGCAGAGCCATTCTATCAGCATTTGGCAGGATCAAGAGACATTTTCAGTTGTCCCCTCAGATGGGAACGCGGGCAGCTACTGGCATCTCAGGCAAAGCAGCAAAACATCCTGCAACGCGTGAGCAGTTCTCTGGCCCGGTTATCAGGAGCGTCGAGGTCGAGAATCCACGCTGCACACTGTGAGCCTACCCGTGGTTTGAGGAAAATGGAAGTAGGGCAAGAAAACTGGTATTTATGATTTCAGCACCGCCCTCTATGGTGATAGCCATAACTTTAATCCCGCTAAGCAGTTCCTGGTGGGCTTGGGAGGAGAAACAAAACACTCTACCTATTCTGCGAGAGTACTCTGTAGCGGCAGTCAGCCACAGCGGGGGTATTTACACCAGGAACATCACCCAAAGTTAGGCATTTTTAGAGAGCCAGCTGTTAAACATCTGCCATCCCACCACTGCTATGTCTGCCAGAATTATCTTAACTCCTCATAAATACCTACATTACTCTTCTTGTTACACACACACACACACACAAACCCAATTCACACGGAGTGTCTCAGGTCTAACGAAAATGAAGTGAACTACCCCACACACTCAGTCACGGATGGCAGGGAACGGAAGTAAGAAGGTTGGAGAGCAGATTAATTGGATGCGAACCAGGAATTCTGGATGTGTGACCACTACTCCCGCAGTCACTGCCACCTGGACTTGGACTTAGTGCCATCAATTCCTTACAATATACAAACACACTGATGCAGAAGCTTTTCCACATGACCCCATCCCCCCTCGGCGTGTCTGAATTCATCTTCTGTCCATCTCTGTCATTCGAGACCCCGACAGACATCTGGAGAGCAAGCAGGGTTTAAAAAAGCATTGCTGAGGAAGCTCAATACAGCGGTAGTGATGAATGGAGCACAAAATAATCAGAACAGGGCCTTGGGGCCCCCCCACCACAGGCCTACACCCAAGCTCGCTGGACACCGTTATTCCTCTGCACACCATCAATACTATTCGCAACCCCAGCTCCACTGAAGAGAACTACTGCCACCACACTATTTGCCAAAACGCGTAGATGCGTAAAATAACAACAGAGGTGAGACTGGCAGCAAGAGCTCAGCAGTGTGATCTGAGGTATCTTTTGCCCTCATTTACATATCAAAGTTGTGTGTTGCTTCCTTGCTCTTTTATCCATTTAGATGTGGATAACATATTTGGAAGACTAAAAATCCATTGCAAGTTAAGTTTTAGTAGATACTGTTAGAAAATTAAGCAACTCAAACAAATTTTTCTAGTTAAAACATGGGATAATTATAGCAATACATAAATTAATCTAGTTTGCTTGGTATGTGTATTTTGTGGATGAGAAAGCTATAAGAAAAAGAATTGTACTACCAAGTCTTGGGAATAATATATTCTATAGGACAGATAATGAGAGAAAACTTTGGTACATATTATGTAATGTCATGTTTTCTCCCAAGAGTATGGAGGTGGTTATTTCAATTCAAAGCATCTTCTTTTTCTTGTAATAGGTTTATCAGGATTTTTTTCCTTAAAATTGCTCCCTTGATACCTCTGGAGCAGCTGTTCAGTGAAAAAGGCAGAGTATTCCCTGGGAAATAAATTTGTTGTGCAACCACTGGAACGTAAATTTTATCCTCTAGTAATTTATTTTTCCTTTATCGATTTTGATTATTCCTGTAGAAACCACAGATCACAGAATTTGGGTGCTTTTTTTCAGTGGTACGTTTTTGGCATTGCTTACTCATGGGAACCAACTTCAGATAATGAGATGTGTTTATTATATTTCCTCAAATTCTACTTTATTGTAATTTGAGCCTATAAACAACAAGGAAATGCTATGTTATCTATCAAGGTAATAGGTCATTGTGTTATCTATTAAGATTATAGGCAATTGTGTCATCTGTTAAGATAATAAACATTGGGAAAATGTGACAATTTCCTCTGTACTAGAAGGGCTATAGAATCACTCGGTGACCTGAATTCTCGGGGATGTTCAGGGTAGGTGACAAAGCAGTGGTGTCACTAGCTCTTTTCTGAACCAGGGGACCTGGCACAGACTGGCTTGCGGGGTACGTATTTGTGCAGAGTGGGGTCCTTGTCCACTTACGGGTCTTCCTTTAGGGCCTCGCTCTCCTCTTGCTCCCTGTGACCCTGGAGGCCCCTGAAAGAGACAGTGATGATGACACCTGTAAACATTTCTATTTTGGACGTGTTCACGGTAAACATTAGTTTGATAAAATAAAATAGGACAATACAAATATCCCACTTTTCAGTTCAGTGCTTTGAAGACTATGAAAAACAAAAGCATGTCCGTATCAAAGTTCTGTGTGCAGGAGGACTGTTTGCTTCAGGAGCAGACTTGAAGAACTGTAAAGAATTAGTTGCCACATCAAAGTGTCAAGAAGTTTAATGAGATACTTATACTGACTAGTGATTGCAAGCTTTAAGAATAATGTTTGCTGTCTTCATCTAGGTAAAGCTTTTGCCATTCAATTCTGGGCACAAAAAATGCAGTTAGATTTCCCATAAATGTGCAAACCCTACATTATCAATTATCTTGAGAAATTCCTTAATTCAAATTGGTATAAGAGATTCAAAAGTTATCACAGCTCAAACTGCTGATAAAACAAATAGAAAGGAAGGACTTTTAACTTGCGGCTGCTTTATGTACATTCAGACATCACTTTTTACTTGAATTGAAATATGGTACTAGTTCCGTTCTATGTTTGGAGCCCACTTAAAATTTTCCAAATCATGCTGTCCATAACTTCTTTCTCCAAATAAGAAATGACACTTGTATTTCAAAAGTAATGCTCCTGTGCTGATGTCTTTAATGGCTTTCAACTGTATTATGAAGGTAGATTACACATTTACCCAGTTCAACAAACAGATTATTTTAAGAGACAGGACCTTGATATGTTACACAGGCAGGCCCCAAAGTCCTGAGATCAAGCAGTCTTCCTGCCTCAGCCTCCCAGATAGCTGAACTATACACAGCATCGTCAAGAAGCAAAAGTCTCCACAGGACTAAAGTAGGTCTGCTGTTTTAGTGTTTTACCTAAGCCTACTTGACATGTTTCAAAATTTACACAGCATGTATCAGAGTGTGTGCATATTGTCCATCTAGTTACATAGGAATGCTGCTGAAAATCCAAGCCTAAAAGTGTCTTTTATGCAAAATGAGAAATGTTATTCTGAAGTATAATTTCTCAGATTCTACTGCAATATATGACTTAAGGAGATAATACATCCCATTTTTAATCAGCCAAATGACAGACAAGCATGCCCTCACTAATCTAAAATTAGTGCTGTGCCAATAAACTTTTTCTTTTCCTGTAACCAAGGGCAACACTAACACTGGGAAGAAAGTTTTCTCAGAATGACACGACCCCCGATGTGTCATCCATGTCCACAAGGGAATGCCTACACCTGAAGATGACTCAAGAGAAAAAAAACTTAGTAGAAACCAAGCACTTTATTTATATCATGCTGTCTTCTCATGGATATCATATCTGTAAAGACTTTTTTCATTGTTGCTTTTTTTCTTTTTTTTTTTTTTTTTCTCGCAGTACTTGGAATCGAACTCAGGACCTTGCACTTGCCAGGCAGGTACTTATGCCACTGAGCTATATCCCCAGCCCGCTTGTACAGAATTTTAAAACCCCACAGAACACCAGAGTGTGATGACTATCAGAAAATTACTTACCGCAGGTCCTGGACGGCCGCGAATGCCTGTTACCTAGACAAGAAAGAGATAACTTGTAAAGGAAAAGTTTCTACAGAGCTTCAGAAAAGTCAGTAATCAAACAAATAAGAATAACAGCAAAAGCACCAGTGGATTTTTTAACAAATGGATGCTCTCAATCGATACCATTTCCTCCTGGCCTCACGAGTTAAGGTAGCTAGTCTGAACTCTATCATAGGGAGGCAGGACTGGGACAGTGAATATAACCTAACAAGGTTAAGGGGCCTGGGTTCAAATCCTGAGAGTTCTCCTTACCAGTCCTTGACTGTGGACTGATTATTTAATCTGCGCTTAAGTTTGTTTAAATGGAAACTGATGTCTAAAATGGTGATGAAGATTATGAAATGTCTTCCTCTATAACTGTGGACAAATAATTGTTTGTGAAGCATTGGGTATCTAAACACAATAACAACATAAAATTTTAAATGAAAGAAATAACATGAATGACTTAGTGTTTCGGTAATCTTTGTGGAAAAATAAAGGGATTTAAAAGCAAAGCAAAAATTTAAACACAGCCAAATAAACTAACATTAGATAAATCAAATTAACGGGTCTTGACAGACTGATAACTTCTTTAAAATCCAGGAGAATGGTGGTTGCAGATCTTTCATCCTATTTAGTAACACACTATTTGATCATCTATAAGTCCAAAGAAACCTTAAGAATTCATGTATAACAGAATTACAAGGCTGGGGCTGGGGATTTAGCTCAGCGGCAAAAGCGCCTGCCTGGCATGCGTAAGGTCGTGAGTTCGGTTCCCGGTACCGGAGAAAAACCAGAATTACAAGGCTAACTAAGGCACGATATATTTCCAAAAGTGTGAAACACTAAACCATTATACAAACTATCATGTGTCACTGCATGCAATATAGTCAGTTTTGTAAAATTATGATGTTTTTTACTTTTAGTCATGGGGTATAAAAGTCCAGAATACAGAACATTAAATGTGTTTCAAAACATTAAACTATTGTAACTTGCTCTTGTTATACCAAAATCATGTTATAAAAATAATTTCCTTTTTGACAGGAAGCAGTAATGAGCAAGTGTACTAGAGTTATACTGAAAACAGTGTATGTGCAGATACTTACAACAGGCACTAATCCTGGTTCTCCTTTTTGTCCCTGTGAAATGAAAAAAGAAAAAAGGTTCAACAAGTAAAATGTATTGGGTTCTTAGATATGAACATGTCATACTACACTATGCCATGTAAACACTGCGGTAGTCTAAGGAGTATAAAACAAGGCAAAAGAAAGTAACTTTTAGGACACTTAGTCAGACATTATTCATGAAAAAGTCAGGCTCATCTGAAGGACCTAATTGATCTAACTTGGGAAATATGCAGTCGTTTCACTTCAGCTTTTAAATGGATCAAATCAAAGGGTTATCTAGACCAAGAATTAGTTATAATGAAAAAGTATAAAAAAAAAAAGTATCACTGAAAAAAGCTATTCAACTGTATAAAGAAGGGGGCCTGGGGATTTAGCCCAGTGGCACAGCGCCTGCCTGCCAAGCGCAAGGTCGTGAGTTCGATTCCCGGCACCAGAAAAAAACAAAAACAACAAAACAAATGGATAAAGAAGGAAAATTTTTAAATGTTTATAGAATTGAACTTTGCACTCATATAACAGTAATAGGATTTTATGTACTTCCAGCGATTGTCAGCAGCTGACGGTGGTTCTCAGCTACGAGATGTTATACCTGAGCCACCTTCTCCCTCTTATGTACCTCCTGGAAAAAATGCTTCAAGCAAGAGGTGTTTATATTTTACGAAAAAGAAAAGAAAAGGTCTACTAGCTCTAGTTAAATAATTTTTTGTATCTGAGAAAATGTCCACTGAATAGAAAACTAAAAAGCACAAGAGACTATCAAATTTGTATACTCATTGTGTGACGTCAGGAACAGAAGTTAAATAATGTTAAAGGAGTTGTAATTGTAAATTATACATTTATGTTCCTGTGTTTTGTCACATAGTAATTGGTATTCTTTGCTTTAGGATTTGTTTTCCGATGGATCCTGTTCTCAGACCCTCCGTTGTGTCAGTCTACTTTACACTCTCAGGATGGTACATTGAATTTTTCAGTAAATTCTTCTGGAGTTTATCAATTTGCACTAGTATTTTATGAAATAATTCCTTTTCTTAGACAATTGGGGAAAGTGACTATATCCAAAATCTAAAGAAAGTGAATATATCCAAAATCTAAAAAAAGAAAGAGGAATGTGTTCTAGTTTATAAAATTTCTTTTCACATATATTACTCCTTTATATGATTATAAAGTGATATATGTCCACCATGGGGAATTTTGAAAGTACAGAAAATGTACAGAAAAAACTCAGAACCCTACTCAGCACTCCAGGGCTCAGCACTATGAGGCTCTTGGTACCCTCAGCTGTCCATACGCATGTGCGCGCTGATTTATTTGATGAATGCTTCATTATTTTACTTTTAATTTGGGGGCTTGCTTTTGCATTTTAAGAAGCCATTACAATGAACATCCTTATTTCTAAATATTTGTGTGGCCTCTCTGATTAATATCAGAGACATTAGGGACATGTTTCTTAAGTTAAATTTGTGGGTTAAAAAATCACAGGTACTTGTACTCCAAATTGTACTAGACCCCCAAATTGTATTCCTGAAAGACACAATCTGATTATATCTTCCCAACTGTATCTCACACCTGACAATGTTTTTCAAGTAAATTTTTAAAATTACTTTATCATCCTAATAATTTTAATGATGGCGTCAATGGGAGAATTAATACTAACTTAATTTTACTAGCTGATTCTAATGCTGAGGTAAATACTACCTGGAAGTGAGGAATAGACAGAACTCAGAAGAGGGAAATTTCCCTGCAGAAGCAGGAGGAGTTCAGGAAGAGTTGACTCCAGATAGAAGCATATCACACTGGAATACAACTGGTGCAGAGGCGGCCGGGAGGGGGGGGGGGGGCAAGTGGGATCAAAATATATAGGCTTCCAAGTTAAAAAGAAAAAGTCTTATTTCCACAACCACTCACTTTTAGACTATTTCCACATTTTAAAATATTAAAATAACACAAATTAACCACGTAAAAGCTACAGTGGACAATGTTTCTTTGAAATACTGACAGATTTGAATTGCTTAGTGTTGGCATGTAAATTTGTGTCCCATGAATAAAGAAGTTTTTGAGAATGGTGCTGAGAAAATTACTCCTTCTGGAATAAGTAGAAAAACATGTAAAGAGAATTAAAATTATTTTATCTACAATGAAGAAAATGGAATAACCTGCTAAGAATACTGGCAAAATTTCTACTTCAAGAGACCTAAAAACCAAATGCAGATTTTATTCTAACTTCGTGTTTCAGGGAATGGAATCCTCCGACATGATTCTTAATTAAATCATAGACTTTTGATCTCTCATATGAGCATTTTATATCTCCATGACAGTTGATAAGAGTTTAAATGTTCAGTTATAAATTTTTAGTAACCAGTCTCCCAGTGACTCCATGATAATACTTATTTTAGATATAAACCACAGATGGAGATGTTTTTATTAATATGGGTTTTGAATAAGGTTATTTATGTGAAATAATAATTTGTCTAAAGTTTTACAGAATTTGATTTTCATATTTCCAGAGAAATATAAAGTTCGTGCACTCAGATTTCAGATGGGAATTATTACACTAACTTCTGAGTCAGTGTCGTGTGAACACAAGCTCTCGTGACCGCGGAAGCAGTCTGTCCACTTTGCCGTATCCCTCGCCTCATGCAAAGACTTTTCTTTAAAAGGCTCAGTAAAAACATTTTGGATGAACGTGATAAATAGATGAACTAAAAGTAAAAATCAGTGTGGATATAAACCAGGAGTAAAATGAAACTTCATAACATTAATCTGCGTTTATGTTTCTGATGATAAATATTTGATGATAAATAAATCATCTTTATCATCTGGGGATTTATCATCTAGGGGCTGGGGATTTAGCTCAGCAGCACAGCGCCTGCCTGGCAAGCGCAAGGTCATGAGTTCGATTTCCGGTACCGGAAGAAAAACAAAAGAAAACAAATGTAGATAACAGCACGCAACTACAGTCAGGTAAACTGGCAGCTACTTGAAGCATGTCCTTCACTCAGTTCCCTTACACAGCCTTTACAGAAAGGTAGTAAATGGTACAGACCACCAATTCTTTCTTCGGAAGTTGGGTGATTACTAACGGAGCAAAATTGATAATTTAAGGGAAGTTCTCACTGTTAGATATTTTTATCCTCTTTCATAATTGTATCTATCCATTAAACCATCTATCATCCATCTATCTCATTTCTTTAAAACATATGCTACTCTATCTCCATCTACTCTAGTTTCTGTGTACTCATTAAATGTGAATTAGTATTTGCAGTCCATCTTCTTTGATAGATATTCAAATCTCAATGGCTTTGCTTACATTTATTCCAAAAAGATACGCTTATGGTTATTGCTCTCAAAATCAAAATGTGTTACACTGGCCAAAAGCTACTTCTGATATCATCACTCTCATTTGGTGTGAAAGTATAGCACTGCTTTATCTGATTATCTGACAAAATCACTTTCCTGAAGTTCCACTATGTGCAAAAGTACAGAAAATTTAATTTAGCTACTTAGATGTCTAATATCGCCATGAAAATTGGAGTCATTGCCCACTTTCTACTTTGTGAGTGCCTAGGTTCATCCTACTTGAATAAGATCAAAGAAAATGGCATAATTTTTAAGATATCCAGAGAACTGAGAGCGATGACAACAGAAAATGAACCGTCTTCACTTCATGGGATTAGCCGTGTCCAGCTAGGGTCACTGCTGTCACAGCTACACCCCATCACGGTCCTCATAAATTCACAGCTTCTCTCAAGGATTAGATTTTAAGTTCCCTGAAGGCGAGGGGCAGGAGAGGATGGTTAGAAATGTGTTTTACAAAATTTTCAATTTTCTTCATCTTTACTTCTTAACCAATAGGAGAGGGACCTCACCAAAGTAGAACAAATATTCTTTCCTCCTGTTCCATCTCTTTCTTTTCTTTTTCTTTTCCTTTCTTTCTTTCTTTCTTTCTTTCTTTCTTTCTTTCTTTCTTTCTTTCTTTTTTCTCTCTTTCTTTCATCAAATGTATATTGAGTCTCTAAATGTGTAAAGTATAAGTTAAGTATGTTGATAAGGACCAGGAATATAAAGACTAATAGGAAATAGTCTCCGCCCTTAGAGAGTTCCCAACTTTGTGGCAGAAGCAGATGTAAAAACAAAGATTGACCATAAAGGAAACAGAATAGAGGGATCTACACTTGCTAAGTACAGTAGCTGAAGTGCACCGACTTATCTTTTACAACTTATTTTCACAGTACCTTGAATTTTATAAGAGGCTTTCAGACATTTCAGAACATGGTTTTGTGTGAACAGTATTAGAAATAAGTCTGTGAATGAAACAGCAACTATGCAAAGTCAAACTTACCTTTCTTCCTCTACCTATAAAAAAGAAAAGAATAAATATGTTATTTTATGGAGAAACTATTTCTAAGAGGAGACTAAATGTTTACTCTCAGTAATAATTTGTTAGTCAGCCTTTAACACAAAAAGATTAGGGAGAACTCGAGTTGTTTTGGTTCAACAGTTCCACAAAAGGCAAAGTAATGTATAACTTTCAAAAATTCTGACATGATGTTAATATGCTTCAAAACAATTTCATAGCATTTAAAGTTAATTAAATTATATAATCAGCTATAAAAGTTATAATGAGTTATAGTTAATATTTTCTATAGCTGTTTTGAATATTTTTAATGAGTGAGGCTAGTCATTCATATGGTTCAGATGTAAAAGTGTATTAAAAGTATACAATTATACTTTTAATAATGAATTAAAAATTCATTATTAAATGAATTTCATTTCATTAGTAATGAAAAAACATTTCCATTTCTGCCTCCACCCCTCCATGCACACACTAGAAGCCACTATTGTTGATTTCTTGAATTGTTCTCAAGGATTTTGTGTAGGTAAACAAATAATAATATAAGCCTTCTTTCTACTTTTTCCATATTGGCTTTCATATGCCTTATTTAAATTTAGAGTTATGTAAATTTTAGAGATCTTTGCATATAAGTAGTTTCTTTATTGGGTTTTATAAAATATTTCTCATGATTCCCTCGTATGAAACTATAGTCTTTTTCACTAATATGCCCTTTACTCTGAACATTTGGGATATTTCTAAGCTTTTTCTATTACTAAGATATAGTTTGTTATCCAAACATGACAGTTTGAATGATGAAAAAGTTATTGTTTACTATGCCAGGAAAGTTGGTATAATTTGGAATTTCCATGGACAAGCTACAAAGAAGAATCATACTAGCTACTACAAATAATGCCAAAATGAATAATATTTATACATATGACCACATGCCAATATATTTGTGGGATAAATTCTCCAAAACCTTTTTGAGTCAAAAGTAATTTGACATATTACCAATGTCCCTTCTGTTGAGTTTATACTATTTCCTTCTTCCATAATTAATGTACGTATCTCCCCAGAGGCAATGCCTCTGGTAGGTTGTGTGCTAGCAACCATTTTAATTTTGGTCAGTCTGATATGTGGAACATGATAGTTCAGGGGTCATTTCAATTTGCAAATTATTTTATCATGAGGAAATTTGATAGTTGTCATATTGCAGAACTATATTTGTGTTTCCATTTGTTGGTAGTTTATTTATATAGGATTTCTTTATATGTTGAGAGTATTCACCATTTGTGAATTGAGTTACAAATATATTCACTTTGCTTATTTTTACATCCTGCAAACACTCATTATTTTATGGCTCTGAATTTGAATCAAAATTAAGCTTTGATTAAGCACTGAGCTACATCTCAGCCCAAGAAAACATTCAGTATTTTAGGACTATTAAAAGAAACTCTCTCGGGGTTTGAAATCATTATGATTTTTTATTCATTAAGTTGCTGATTTTTTTGAATTTTCCCTGCTATAGGATGTATGATGACCCAGTTATTTCCAGGTGACTTGCCAGCCTTCCAATAAGTCTTATGCAATAATTCTTTTCTTCACTACTAAAATTCCATGCTTTTCATATTCAAGCTGATCAGGTATACTAGGTTCTACTCCTTCACTGTTGTATTCCATTGCATTCTATTCATGTATCTAGATCACATTTTCTTACAGACATGAGCCTTTTTTAGGTTGGTTTGTTTGCTTGTTTGTTTTGACATGTTGGGTATTGAACCCAGAGCCTCATACATAATAGTCTACATCCTGGCCCAAGAAAACGTTCAGCATTTTAGGACTATAAAATAGTCTTCATATATACTAGGCTAATGCTCTACCGCTGAGCTGTATCCCCAGTTTGATACACTTTTCTATGTTGTAGGGTTAATCATTAATGTCTAGGGCTATAGCTCAGTGGCATAAAAGCCTGCCTGGCAAACCCAAGGTCCTGAGTTCAATTCCCAGTACCAAAAAAAAAAAAAATCTAGTCATCGATTAATTACTGTTCTTGCTAAGGGCTTGCCTGACAGTTCATTCTTGTTTATTCCGTGCAAATTTTAGTTGATGTGTCAAATTTTAAAGAAATTTTTATTGGTATTATATTAAAATTAGTAATTAACTTACAGAAAATCTATGTGTTTGTAATGTTTAACATTCCTCACCAAGAACATAAGTATTTGTCTTTGCTTGAACTAGCAGCATTTTAAAGCTTTCTTCCAGTATATCTAATATATTTTGTGTGAATTTTATCTGTAGGCATTTGTTGGCATTTCAAATCAAGTCTTCTTTTATTCTCATTATTTACAGTATGCTATAATTGTTTTTATGTAGTATATCTATTCATTCCTGGTGATTAATTTTTTTACTATACTGCCTTAATAAATTCTCTTATTTTCTGGCGTGTAAAATTCAATTTCGTTAGGACTGACAAACACACAAGTACATTTTTCTAGAAATGTAGTTTGGCTCTTCTGTTATAATGACTAAGTCTTGTTTCTTTTTCTCATTTCTTCAGGCACAATCAACGGTGTTACATGATTTTCTTGTGGTATATCATTGGTTTTTGTGCAGCGCTGCATTAATTCCTTTGGGTATTCTTGTTCAGGGCTATCCTCACCCCAGCTTCTACATATAATATATCCTTTCTAATTCTTTAATACTAGTTTTTCATTTTTACTATTTTTCCTTTCCCGTTTCTATCATCTGTTTCTCTTCCTGTATTTCATTCAGTATCATCTCAACTTGTGTCCTTATGTCATCTTCATTTCCCTTTGAGGATTTCAGTTTTCTTTCTCTTCCTTTGCAGACCATTCCTCATTTCTTTCAGCTTAACAGCCTTCTTTCCTTGGGGCACTTATTATATTGTTTTATTTAGTTCATATCAAAGTAATTGGCTGAGATTTTTATTTGGTCTTTGGTAACATATTTGTGAGTGTGATTTTTATCTCACAAGTTTAACTGAAGTCAACCACCTTTTGTTTCTTAGAATTTATTTGTATAAACCTATGGCCCCATCCTTTTCCATTATTTACTATGGAAGGAGTTACACTTTTCTAGACTAGGTATGTTGAAGAAGTTGTATATTTTGCTGCATTTTCTGATGTTAGCCATTGTTTCAATTTATGGTGAGCTTATCCCCATAGGTTTAATTTTACTTCATTCCCGAGCTTCTCGGAAGATTGTTTCTGCTTTGGTTAACCTTTACATGACTTATTTTTATTTCTCCCCATGATCATATCAATGAAAATTGAGTTTAGTTGTTTACCCAAAGCATACTGCTACTCTTGAATGATATTCAGGAACACAAAAAGTCATTGTCTAATGTTTCTCAATTATATTTGTTGTTATTTGCAGTGGAATTTGGGGGAAAAATAAAGCCTTGACTGTGCCTTGACAATGATGTATATAAATCTTTATTTACAACAGCTTAAACAAATAACCTAAAGGTCAATATCAATGTTTCCTAGTTCATTAAAATACATAAATATGAACTTGTTTTCCTTATATCTAAGTCTCTTTAATACATCTATTCACACTCAATTATATAATATCTGTTAAACATAGACATTTTTGTTCAAAAGTGTTTTAAAAACCAATAATTTGTAGCCTTCTTTCCTCTCAGAAAACCATCCATTCTCTTATCTTACACACTCAACATAAATCCCATACTGTACTTATGACCCAATATAATAGAAGGTGCTATGGCAGTGAATTATGTTAGAAATGATTATTTTGTTCCCTAGGGTAAAGTTGGTACCAGGAAAGATAAGTTTGTTTTCTAGATCTCCTCTTGGGCATTAAAGGACTTCACATAAAATTTAAATATACATTGCAGTACCGATCATGGAAATAGTAACAAAGGGCTACTTTAACAAGCACAAGAAATTTTCAAATTAGATACAACCAATCAAACCTCAGCAAAAAATATTCCTCCAAGAAGACAGGAAATTACTGTCTGCTTCTATGATATGAATGTTGAAGCGTGCAAAATCATTAATCCCAGAGACCAGTGAATGAATTCATTTTTCTCTTGGGTTGCTGAAAGCAAAACAAAACGAAAAAGCACTGCAACTATATCACTGTATCCAGCCTTCACTGGCCCTAGGCATTCTTACCGAAATTGGTATTTCCACTTCCAGGTGTTTGTGGACAGACAGGACAGCACTCTCCGGGAGGAGTCACAGGGTCAGCGCAGTTCAGCACTTCCTGACATTGTATCTTGTCACAAAGAATGGCTCCATTGTCACAGACGCAGATCTGGCATTCACTAGGTTTCCAAATGTCCCTGTTTAAGTACACCTGGCCATTCTGAGTGCAGGCTATTTCTTCAGTATATTCATCTAAAGTAAGAAGAAAAAACAGAGGTTAGTAATCTGAAATTTTGTAGTTTGGAAAGAATTCGGGAAGAATTTAAGATAATGAGTCAGCTCATGGATCCTGCATAATTCTGGGCTAAGTTACCTACCAATGAGACAAAACAAGGTGAAGCTTATTCCATATAGTATTTGAATACAATGTAATATGCAATGGTTAAATATAAGATCAGTAAAGAGGGACAAAAATAAAACAGTTGACAGGGAAGAAAAAGAATATTTCAGAAGGGAATGCAGTATGTAAATATAGTATTTGAAGAACCTTACATGACTTTCAGCTCACTAGAAACTTTAGATTAGTAAGCCATACATAAGGAAGCAGTGTGTGTCTATGTACCAAGAGGAAAAACTTCAAAAGAAAAATATACGGGTCTATTAAAATTCTTTGAAGCCTAAAGTGGAAAAAGAAGAGCCACTTTTTAGTTTTTCATTACCCATCCTAAACTACAGAAAGATACTAAGCTGTGACAATATGGTAAAACATGTACAGATAATTATCTTTGCACTAAAATTAATTAAGGGAAGTTATAACTAAGACAAAGTAATGTGCTATCATGCAACATCTTCCAGATACTTTTCTGTAATTGGGTAAAAGCTTAAAATGGATTGTAAAGATACCTACATACATGTGTATACACAGTAATAGAGGTTCTATTCATGCATGAATATCAAAAGTACACATAGATCTTTTTTAAATTCATAGAAAAAGTAAAACAAAATTTCAAAACAAAGTAAAAGGAGAATAACAACAGTTAATACGTTGTGTATTGTTATCTTCAAAATAGTTACTCAGACTACGAGATATGAACATAAAAAATTTCCCAAATGATTTAGCACAAAACTTTCTTTTCAGTAAACTAAGAGAAACCAGTAGTATAATAGCTATCTTGTACTTTTTTTCCTTTCCTCTTCCTTTCCTCTTTCCCCTACCATACTTCCTTTTTCCTTTTGAATAATGTTTCCCATTTCACGAAATCTATTATACATTTCGGACCTTATTTACTGTTTCAATTTCTCACACTAGGGAACCAATATGATGTTTTTACAAAGTTGGTTTTTTTTTTTTTTCCAGTACCAGGAATTGAACTCACTACCTCACGTTTGCCAGGCAGGCGGTATGTCGCTGAGCTAAATCCGCAGCCCTCCAATATGATGTTTACACCTGTGAGTTTGATTAATTTCACTTATGAGTGTGGTCTCAATGTGCATCCATTTACTTCTGGAAGTCTCACGTTTCTCCTTGTTTACGGCTGAGTAGTACTTCATTGTATACAAATGCATTTTTTTATCCATTCCTCAGTTGATGGACATTTGGTTTGTTTCCAAGATATAACCATTAGAAATTGTGCTGCTATAAACATGGGTGCACATATATCACTGCGGTCTGATGTTTTTAATTCTTCTGGGAAGATAGCCAGAAGGGGAATAGCTGTGTTGAATGGGACCTCTAATCCTAGTTTTTTGAGGAACATCCACACTGATTTCCACAGTGACTGCACCAGTCTACACTCCCACCAAAAGAATACACATACATCTTTAACTCTGTAATTTTCATAAGAATCCAAACTATAGTATTTTAACATATAAGGTGGGTTATATAAGCCTTTCATAAACGCTCTGGCATCTTCTTAATTACTTAAAATTCATGATTTCTTTATGAAAGTTAAACACCTTCCTTTTCATTTCTTGCACAAATCCATCTCATTGCTCAAGACTACTTTTCTTAATTGTTGTCACCTCTCCCAAAATTCTTTTCAGCCTATATGACTAGGTTTCTTTACTGACCTGAAATACATTCAAGAACTCATTTTAAGGAACTTTTGTTTAGACACTCATTAACTCTTAGGAGTGTATTATATGCAAAGTAATAAAAAATTGCTAAAATGTGAACAGATAGACAAAAATCAACACCCTCATGAAAGTGGTTCCAATTGTTCTCATATTTATTTATTATCTTCTCTACTAGATAATGAGCTCTCTAAGTTTACACTGCTCAGCACTATTTCAAGGACTCAGCACTGTATCTTTCACAGAACAGCCAGTCGACAACTATGTGTCAGTTAAGAACCCAAACTATGATTTGCTAAGCTAATTGCACAGTATTAACTGTGAGGTTTGTATGAAATAAAATTTTAAAACATATTTGTAGTCAATTTTTGAAAGATTATTTGGCATATAAAAATACCCAATGGAAACAGCAAGACGACAGATGAAAATGATTTCAGTTTAAGATAATAATATTAACTCAAAAATGCACAGTATACAGTTAATATTTCTAAGGTACATCTCAATATATCTAGAAAAATAATTTTTTTTATTGCATTGTGGAATACAAGACATGTTTAAATAACTACAATGAATGCTTACTCTTTTTTTACATCTGATTACACTAAATATCACATTGCCGTTAATTCACCTGAAAATACTCCTTCCCACTTCAGATTCACTTACCCCACCCTTCTTACCACTTTCTGAAGCAGTTCTGGCAGTTCTCATGTCATTGGTTGTGCTACTGTGACTGCCTTAAAGTCCTGAATTGATTCAAAACATTTACCACTCATGTTCATTAAGGAAGAGCCAGAAGTTGCACGACTTTAAAAGACTCACAAGTTCCACAGCGGCAGCTGGTGACCTTAGCTCAGTAGCATTCACCATATTTTTGATCACAACTCATAGAGATATCTACAAAAGAGGACTTCCAGAAATGCTTCAGAAAGTAGCAGAAATGATGGGATAAGTGTGTCAGAAGTAAGCATGGGGATTTTGAAGGGAATTAATAGCAATGTGTCTTTTACTGCAATACTTTTTATTTATTTATTTACTTATTTATTTATTTTTGGTACCAGGAATTGAACTCCAGATCTCGTTCTTGCCAGGCAAGCACTTGTGCCACTGAGCCATCTCCCCAGCTGCAATACTTTTTAAAATTGGAACATTCACTGTATATTTTGACCACACCCCATACTTCACATATGCTTAGTCCTTCATCACAGATGTTTGATAAATGTACAATCACTTTCAGAGCACCACACCACATCCTCATAGTTTGCATGCTATTTTATAAGAAGAGCACTAAGTTTCTAACCTGTTTTGTCTTCATCAAAACTTTTATGACATAATATACAGAAAATCAACAAAATATTTGCTTTATATAGACAGGCACTTAAAACCAAGGGAAAAGTAGGATTTATGTTTTAGTGTGCTTTTCGGGAAGGCCATTTTGAAAAAACAATAAGAATGTGAACATCACATAAGCAACGTGATGTTTAGATCAAAAAAATCAATTTAAAACAATGCAGTTCCATGATGAATATGTCCCAAAATATGACCTGTATAAAAATGGCTTTACATCCATGGTCCACGGAGCAGTTACATTAAGTGACACATTAGAAATAACTTTGTTCATTATCTGTCATGATTGAAAATGAGAGATTTACTCACAAGACTTTATTACTATCGCTGAAAATGAGGTATGCTCTACATTCAGTTACCTTTTATCACTTGCATGCCAGGGGAGACAGTGGTTGAAGGGAGGGGGTTATTATTTGATATTTACAAAGAATTTTTCAGGCACCGAATCCATAAAATATTGCAAGCATCTGCCTTCTGCTCTCAGAATACTCCTTAGTATTGTGAACTATCTGTTTACCTATCTGTGGAGATGATAGATAGATAGGTAGATAGATAGATAGATAGAATCTATTCTATATTATGTGTATCTACAGTATATACTAATTTTTATATAGTAAGTCAATATATGTTATATATAAACTTGTGGCATCCTAGATGTATTTATGTATAAATAATAAAATTATATAAAATTTTCTATAATATAATATTAAATACAATTAACATGATTTTATTCTGCATAATGAAGTTTATATTATAATAAAATTCATATAATAGGATGTGAATTTTTATTTGATACATTATATACACAAATTTTATATCACTGATGAAATACACATCAGGGAGTAGATAGAGAATATGAAAAACCATAAAAACAAGGTGGAATATAATAAGGTTGCCCTTTAAATATCATTAAAAATGTGTGTGAGAAAATCTTCCAAGATGATTTCTCCTCCTCTCTGGTTCCTTCAGGGCCAGAATAAAAAGACACATTCACTCTGCGTTAACACAGACAAGGGGAGTGTCTTCCTGAGGTTCACAAAGTGACCTCTCCCCGAGAGGCACACAACAGGGTCTCTGTACTACTTTCTTTAAGCGACAGTGTTAAAAGCTAGTGTTAGGGGCTGGGGATTTAGCTCAGTGGCAAAAGCGCCTGCCTGGCATGCGCAAGGTCGTGAGTTCAGTTCCCGGTACCGGAGAAAAACAAAAAAAAAAAAAAAAAAAAAAAAGCTAGTGTTATGCTCTGATTCTTCACTGTTCTCTTTCTCCTGAGAATTCCTAATTAAATTTAAGATGATATGGAAATTTGGGTGGAATGCTTTTAAATGGCAAGGAGATGAAAAACCACATTCACTGCTAAATCCTGCCTTCTCTTCACCCACACAAGAATCCACACACATCACAGTGAACTCGCACTGCTCAGGGCTGAACGAGAGATGCCTACAAAGAGAGCGTGGGCAGAAAGTATAGGGTGTCTGCCAGTCTTCGTGTTCCTACATGGTCGTTAGCTGTACACCGTATGATTAGGCTGCCCCTTCTATTTTCTACACAGACGCTGGCTTAAATGAAAAGAAAAGTAAAATAAAAAACAAAACTGTAGCCAATTTGTTTAAAAAAATTTGCAGCGCAGTTGTCATACATACTTGTTTTATGAGTGACAGGGAAATTAAAAAGTAACTAAGAAGTTTCAAATGACATTCTAAGAAATTCCATACTGTCCTCCTGCCTCCTCTACCCAAATCGTAAGATTTTAACCCAAGCTGACATCTAAAGCCTAGATCCAAGGCTGAGAACTTAACATAGACACAACGCATATGTTATTTCTTAAAGTACTTGGG